AGCTCAATCTAGACTCCTCAGAACCAGTCAGGAGGCAACAAGTGACAAAGACAAGGAACAGACAAGCCACATTAACCGATTCAACCATGTCACTGAGCTCCTGCTGGGCGCCCATGCTGGCGTGCCAAAGGAGGACCGACTCCATCTTGAATCTACCACGCTGACCACGCATTACCCACCAGGCTGAGCCACGTTCCAGTGCTAGTCAAACCCATTCTGGACCCCCATCGAGTTAACATAAACATTAATCTGAGCTTTGAAGTAGCACATTCATGCTCATTCATCACAACAAGGAGACACACACACCCTCGTGCATATGCCATCCCTGTGACCTGCGCAAACCACACAGACCCCTGCCTGTAAATATAGAACGCTGTCCCACATACGTGTGGACCCAGTCACCCAAGACACTGCTTCTGTATCTGCATCCCCCGAATAAATCCAACGACAGGCATCATGAGTTTTTCTACTTCATTCTTTGGTCTCTTGGTTCCTTCGGCCCCACCTCGGAACACTGTGCTGGACACCTGAGGTAAAAATGTGAATATGAAACACGTTTTTCCCTGGAGAAGCTCAAAGACTCGTAGGGAATACAGACAGGCCTGCAGCTCACGACCACACATGGTGCAAGGTTCACCATGCATGGCAGTGAGCTTTGTCAGGCTGGCTTCAATCCAGTGGGAAGGGCGTAAGGCTAAGTGGATCAGAAGTCTTCCCCCAAAAGACACCCTCTCCAAGTCTCCACGCACAGCAAGTTTCTGAAAGTCCATCCAGAGATACACTTGCATTAGCAATTTAAAAGAAGCAAACACTCAACTAGAAAGACTGTCCTCCACATCTCAGTAAATTAGCTATTTAATACGCCAACCTTTCTAGCACCTCGCTGGAATTAGCCAGATCAAGAAAATGAGAGTTTTGAGAGGTGAGGGAAAGAAATGAGAGCTAATTTGGAAGACAGCACCAGAGCCAGAGAGAATGGGAGGAAAGAGCACAGGCAGGAGAGAGGGTCTCCGAAAAGGAAGGGGCACCTGAAGTTTACTCACTTCAACTTTCTCCCTAGGACTGGTCCTTTCCCCCTTTCCTTCCCCTGAAGACCAGAGAGGACCATCCGCTCTCTACAACAAGGCTCTCATGTCACTCACAGGTTCGGTTCCTAGCCCTGGGACAAATACTCTGCCTTCTCAGAATATTTGGGTGGTCAAGGTGCAGGCAGGGGAGCAAGGGTGGGAGGGAGGAGTTTGGTTGAGGGCTGAAAGAGAACGAGGAAGGAAGATATGGATGATTCAAGATTCAGTGAAGGAAAGGTAGACTTACAAAGGGGGAGAGAACTAGAAAAGGGCAAGCTTTCGTGTGATACACACCAAGAACGTTCTGTGTCGTTAACCACTCCTGTCTATTCCCTTGGTTAGCCACTCTTCACAGCTCTTCGTGTGCTCTTTAATCTTTAAACTCCAAGCACATACTTTAGCTTTTTTTTTTTTTTTAATCTTCTTGCTAGAGGGAGTGTGCACTTGCCAGAGACAGAGACACAGAGACAGGGAAACTGAGAAATCCATACTTTATATTTAAATTCTGGATTTATCTTTTCATGTATCTGCTCTTAACTGTATGAAAAGAAAATTCTTCAGGGCCAACCTGTGGCCTGGTGGTTAAGGGGGCTGGATCCCACATGGCCAATCATACGGTTTAAGTCCGAGACCTGATGGCTTGAAAAACATGCTGTGTACATGTGTGAGCAAGGCCAAAATCCTGAAAGGAGGGAGAGATGGAGAAGGGGTTGCAGTGCGATCATTCCCTATGGGGGAGTGCTTTCTCCCTGCCCCTCTCTCTGTCTCTGTCTCTCTCTGGTGAATGCACATGCTCTCTGACAAATTAAAAAATACAGAAATGTTTCCAGGGCAAAATAGCAGCAGAATGGTAATGCACCTGGACCCACATGGGACGGTCCTGGGGTCACATACCAAGGTTTCCCTGTCTCACTGGGCATGTGTGGACACCTGTCACTGATCTGGGCTGGCTAAGGCTCGGGGTGGATCGTGGCATGAAGACCAGCTCGGGGGTGCCTGTCTCTCCCTCTCTTTCTCCCAGAATAAATAAATAAACAAACTAAAAAATTAAAAAGCACTTAATAGTTTTCATTTTCAGTGATTTTGTTTCTTTATACTCTAAACCCTATGGGTAAAACTAGATGAAATATAGCCAATGCAAGGTCAAAATCTTCAGCTTTTTAATACTCTCAGAAGACAAACCTAATTTCACATGAAAGCTGCTTCCAGAATATATTGTTAAGCATGTTCTAGGCATAATTTGTTTTGGCAAACGCTCTGTGGAAATTCACATAGAATTGCACTGAACTGAAAGGAAATTGTCCAGGTAGTAAAAAAATATTTTTTGATAGCTTCAAATGAATCCTAAAAGATGATGGCCCGTGGAAGACAACAATAAACAAAGCATGTTTGAGTAAGAAATTGTAGTTCCGGGTAACCTATCTTTATTACAGAGACTATTTACATTCCATTTGGCCAACTGTAATCAACATAGCTGATATAAAGGCCCTAATTAGATATAACCTTTAATACTAAAGTTAATTTTCTTCCTGTCCCCCCGACCCCAGAGGGCACGCATGCTCACCAGAAACAGGGCAGTAGAGAGGGAGAAAGCACCCCATGGGGAATGGTCACACTGCAGTCCCTTCGTCTGCACCCCCTCCCTCCTTTCAGGATTGTGGGCATGCGTCCTCACATGCCTGGTGTGTTTCTCAAGTCACTGGGTCCAAGACTGAACCAGTGAGATTGGCCATTTGGGATCTGGCTGCCTTAACCACCAGGCCACAGAGACAGTCTACTTTTCTTCATCTATGGATTTTAATGTAAAAAAAAAAAAAAAAAAAAAAAAGACACAAAATTTTCCTTAAAGCATTAAAAGCCAAAGTTATGATTATTAACGAAGTACTAGAACATAGTTTGCATTTGAACTGTAACCCTTTAGTGTCCTTTTCTTCATTAGATAGTCTTCTTATTCTGGCCCTAACAGCATCAATACAAATTAAATAAGAATGAAATGCTCCAGAGCATCCTTCAATTATATGACTCCCTAACTGCCAAATTTCTCTGCCTACATAATGAGCAATTAATTAATTACTTTGTCCACTGCATCACTTTACTGAATGGACTATGAAAAAAATGGAAGTCTTACAAGAAGGCTTTCACATGCCACTCTCAAACTTGGTTATTAGAAAATTTTAAACACATGTTGGGACCAACACATGTTGACACAATGGTTACATCACTGGACTTACAAGGAGTCAACTGCGGTTCAAGTCCTAGACCTGGCTGCTTAAAACTCTCACTGGGCACGTGTGTGTGCATGCCCCAAATCCCAAGAGAATGGAGAAGGGACTGCAGTCTGGCCATTCCCTCTGGGGTGTGTGGGGGGGAGATTTCTCGCTTTCTGTCTCTGTCTCCCTGGCGAGTGCATGCACCCTGTAGCAAAAATCTCTCTAAAAAATGAAAGAAAATTGTTAACACATGCAAACTCTCAAATTGTCTAATTCTCCGTCACCAAACCAACTATGATACAGAAAGAATAACTTTTATTAATTTTCAAACAAATACAAAAGATAGAAGTTGCAAAATAAGCATGGTCTGTAATTACAAGTAACCCAGACAGAAGTATCTACATTATTCAAAGTTAAGAAATGGTCAAGAGAAATTTCCCTCTATTTTAGCACTGACATATCTTCTTTTTCTTTTTCTCTCTCTAATTTGCCAGAGGGCACATGCACTCACTGGAGAGAGACAGAGAAAGACAGAGAAAGTGAGAAAGCACACCTATGCGATGGTCATGCCATGATCCCTTTTCCTCCATTTCTCCATCCTGTCAAGAATCTGGGCACACGCACATACACACCAGGCATGTTTCTCAAGCCACCAGGTCCAGGACTTGAACCAGGCAGTCGCCATATGTAATCCAGCTGCCTTAACCACCATGCCACAGAGATGACCCACCATGGCAGCACTTTAAAACAGATATATCAATATACAATATTATTTGGAATGAGTTTCCCTTTTTGCATCAAAACACAAAATGTTTCTTGCCTAAAAGCTAAAGGTATTATTTGCAAATTTTCCGAAACACACTCTCTGTAGTACAGAACTTATACCCTCTATACTACAGAGCAATGCACTATCGAGGGAAAATGTCATATTCTAATATTTGTGAATAATAAGTTTTTTGACACTATAAAGGTTCATTTTTCCAAAGCTGGTTCCCAGGTGTTTTTCTTTTAATATATACAAAATGCAAACATTTCTTCTACCAGAAAAATAACGTTCAAGCATCTCTAAAATTCTGCCAAGTACTACTCTGTATAATTATCCAGGCAGGTAGTACTTAGTATAATTACCCTGGAGACACTTTTTGATGACAAAATTTGTCTTGCATCTAATGATTTAGCTTTTCTGCTGAATTATCTACTTCTAAAACAGTGAAAAATAACAAAGTATTTAAAAATGAGGCCATCTATAAATTTACTTACTTTTGTCCTCCCTGCAAAATATATTAACACCTATTCAATTCAGATAAATTGTACACTTAAAAATGATATACATATGATTTATATAAATGTATTACAAATGATATAAAATATGTGCTTGGAAATTTTAAGTATACATTCTTAAATTAATCATAAATACAAATTCCCAAGACAAACTGATGAACAATTCAGGGCTTCACATCTTGAAATCAGTGAAATATGGCACTGGAAGGAATAGAATTGTGGAGTTATTCTTGGCGAAATGTCCAAAAATTCTTGAGATTTTCATATCGTGTTTAAACCTGCTGTTGCTGCGGTCAGACAAACTGAGTAAATCTGAAAGACTGGATCAAATTTATCTTGTTGAAACTTTACAATGTATGTTAAAGCTGATTTTTAAACATGTAACATTGGTGTGAAATTTGGGATAACTATTTTCTCTGGTATCGATGGAGGAGAGATCTTCCTTCCAGAGGAAGAAAAAGCGTGTTTTAGAACCATCATCCAATTTTGTTTATTTTGTACATCCAGGAAATAGGGTGCTTTAGTCAACAACATGTTCAAAACTAAAAGACTTTTAAGAGTATTTAATTTAGAAATGATAAAAGTGAGAGACATCAATAAAACATACGCTATGCAGAATATGCTAATCATACACTATTCCTTTTTTTGATGATAAAAATGAATGTACAGAATTTTAATATCAGCATAACAATGCATTATTTGGCAGTATTTTGAGGGGAAATTTGGCTATTTGATCTTTTCCTTGATGGAATTCTATGTACGCAGAAATTTATTATAAGAACTATTTTTGGTATAAAAGGTAATATGACCCAGAAGAGTTTAGGAGATAACCTGAGACATTAGGATAGAGATGTAAACAATCAAAACTGGATTCCTGAAATCAACTAACAGTAAAATATAGACTAGAAATATTAATAATTCTAAAATGCCATTTTCCAACTGTTACTGATACTAAACATAGTATTAGAGAAGTGAAAATATTAGAGAAATAAGCCTTCCAAACTAGAATAGGAAAAAAAGTTTTGAATAACATTTAAAACAATCATCAATAATTTAAGAACAAGTGGGCCTATGGAATAGTAATTCTTCAAAATGAAACCCATAACTGCTAAGTTGAGTATCGTATCCACAGGCTTCCCAGTGCATTTTAGAGGGGAAAAAAAAGGAGTCACTTCGACAGCCCCAGACTCCTCATTTCTCTAGGGGCCTTTCCGCTGTGCTGGCCTCCTCTTTGTGGAGGAAGGTGAAAGCGGATTTCAAGGTGCCGTCTCCGCTCTGTTGTGAATAGCAAAGGAAGGTGGCCCAGAGAAAACCGCAGAGTCCAGTGTAGGCCGTTCTCCAGTGAATGGGGACAAGGCTGAAGTTAGTCAGCTGGAAAACAGAGAGCTTGTTAGGGCTCGGTAGAAACCATGCCATGATTAACGTTCTGAAGAGCTGGAAACTCACCTGGACAAAAGGCCAGTACATCAGACCACTCTGGAATAAAGAAAAACGTGATTAGAATGCTTTTCAATCATGCCAAACAATGGCGCAGTTCATTCTATAAAAGATTAAGGAATACTAGGTGGATACGTTGCCCAATTGGTATTATATTTTAGACTAAGCCGATTAAATGAAGACTTTTTAAGGCCTCTTGAGTGCAGGGGGATGGGCGCTGTAGAGAAATCTGGTAGGTACAAAACAATTTTTAAAAAATATTTTATTTAACTTTATTTATTTATTTTAATCAGACCAGAGAGGGACAGAGAGGGAAAGTGAGAAAACAAGCTGTCAGGTCTGGGACTCGAACCACAGTTGGCCATGTGGGAGTCCAGCGCCCTTTACCATCATGCCACCTGTTAACCCAGTACAAAACATTTTTATAGTTATATCCCTAAGTCCAAAATGAAAGGTCTACCAGAATCTACCAATTCTGGAAGATAATTGCTTTAGAAATAACAACATATATTTATTTATTTTTAAATATTTATTCTATTCTATTGGGTGATTTTTTTTTTTTTTTGGAGAGGTTTTCGCTACAGGGTACATGCACTGGCCAGACAGACAGAGAGAGACATAGAGACAGAAAGCGAGAAATCACCCCCTGGGGGGATGGTCACGCCGCAATCCCTTCTCCTCCTCCTCCATTCTCCTCTCAGGATCTTGGGCACTCATGCACACGCGCCCGGTGTGAGTTTTAAGTCACCGGGTCCGGGATGCGAACCATGGTCGACTACGTGGGAGTCCAGCGACATAGCCATTACACTAACTGCTGGTTCCCATTGATATATTTATTTTAAAGTTTGCGACAGGACATGTGCACTCACCAGAGAGAGAGAGAAAGTGAGAAAGCAAGCCACCAGGTCCAGGACTCAAACTGTGGGTAGCCACGTGAGAGTTCGGCACCTTAACTAACATGCTACCCATCGACCCCAAAAACATATATATAAATTACAATTTCCCAGTTAGCATAAGCAAATGACGCAGGAGGATATTTATAAACATGAGGTCATCAACGAATTGTTAAAATATACCAAACCAAATACACCAAACCATTTTTATGGAATGATTTGCTAATAATATATTCAAGTTATGTCATACTATAGAATAGGCTTAACTGACCTTTTTTTTCATATTATAAAATATTTTAGCCTTTTTTTTTTTTTTTTCAGTTTTTCCAAAAGGCACCTGCACTTCCCGGAAAGAGACAGAGAAAGACAGAAAGGTGAGAAAGCACTCTTTGGAGGAATGGTCACACTGCAATCCCTTCTCCCTCCATTTCTCCCTCTTTTCAGGATTCTGAGCATGAATGCATGTGTACTAAGCATGTTTCTCAAGTCTGGGACTTGTGTGTGTGTGTGTGTGTGTATACACACACACAAACACAGAAAGAGTACAAGGCCCAGCTCTGGAGGTACGGTGACAGCCCAGTGCTCTGCGATGCTGGAAGCCACATGGAAGACTGGAGGCAGGTCCCAGGCCCACCTGTACATAGGGTGTCTGTGCATGCCTACGATTCTGGCTGGCTGGAAGGAAGGCTGGAGGCATCACAATACAAGACTGTTGAAGGTGCTTGTCTTCCTCCATCTCATAAAATAAACAAATATACTACTAAAATATATTAAGTGTATTATATACACATGCAAATTTCTTTTTTTAATTAGCTTATTCAATTTTATTCATTGTTATTGTTTTTTATTCTACTTTTTTTTAATTGACCAGAGAGACAGAGAGGGAAAGTGAGAAAGTAAGCTGCCAGGTCTGGGACATGAACCATGGTCAGCCATGTGAAAGTCCAGCTGCCTTAACCACCACGCCACCTGTCAGCTCCTATACACATACAGATTTCTACACATTTATATAATACATGTATACATATATAATATATATTACACATATTTTATATTGATAGTATATATTCACTTAATAATTTAACAATTAGCAAGCCAGCCAGTGTCACGATGGTTAAGGTGACTGATCCCACATGACCAATTGCATGGCTTGAGTTCCAAATGCACAGGCTTGAAAAATACACGCTGGACACATGCGCGTGCATGCCTCAAATCCTGAGAGCAGAATAGAGGAGAAGGTATTGCAGTGTGGCCATTCCCCTTGTGGGTGATTTCTCACTTTCCCTCTCTTTGTCTGTCTCTCTCCAGGAAGTGCACACAACCTATGAGAAAATTTTTTTTTTTTTGGAGAGGTTTTTGCTATAGGGTGCGTGTGCTCGCCAGACAGACAGAGACATAGAGACAGAAAGCGAGAAATCACCCCCCAGGGGGGATGGTGACGCCACAATCCCTTCTCCTCCATTCTCCTCTCGGGATCTTGGGCACGCATGCACACGCGCCTGGTGTGGTTTAAGCCACCAGGTCCGGGATGCAAACCGCGGTTGACTTCGTGGGAGTCCAGCGACATAGCCATTACACTAACTGCTGGTTCCCTTTTTTTTGAGAAATTTTTAAAAAGAAAAAGAATTAAAGAATTTAATACTTAGCAAGAATCATCAGAAGGCTAAACCCTTCCAAACATGGCTTTATTCCTTATGGCCATTTTTTTCCTTTCCAGGATACAGTATCATCTAGTAGTAATCCCTCGCTTTCCTTTTCTCTGTTTCTCTCTGGCGAGTGCACACACCCTATGGCAAAAATCCAAAAAATGTATATATGTATAAGAGATGGGGCCAGCTGGTGGTAGCCAGTGGTTGGGGCACCGGGATCGTACATGGCCAACTGCATGGGTCAAGTCCTGGACCCCACAGCCTAAAAAATATGCCAGGTGTGTGCATGTGTGTCCAAAATCTCAAGAGGAGACTGGAGGAGAAGGGAGTGCAGCATGGCCATCTCCCCATCCCTCTCCCAGGGGGTGTTCTCACTTTCCCTCTTTCTCTCTCCCTCTGTCTCTTTGGTGAGCACACATGCTCTATGCAAACATACGTCTATGCAAACACATATCTCTCTCATACACACACACACAAAGATATTGATTATATTTTCCAAAGCCTTACCTTATATGTATTCCAGAATTTCTGTTTCAGGTCCAAAAATATGTCATCCTTTCCCTGGAGAATGCTCATACCTATTTATAAAACCACATACCAAAAGAATTTTAGAAGTTTCCATAGGAAGAGTACTCCATAACAGTTTATGCTCAATATGCAAAGTAACCACTGCCATCACCCAACCCAACAGTGAAAAGAGAATACCATCTCCAAAACTATAAAAATTGTAAAGAAATGATAAATATGAAGTGAGAAGAGCAGGGTATAAAAAGGCAGAATTTTTTTTTTCAAAACTGTAAGAACGGATAATAGCATTAGAACAGTGGGACTACTGGGGGCTTTTCTCAACCTTCCAAACTTAAAATTTCATTTGCCAAAAGGCGCATATGCTCATCAGAGAGAAACAGAGACTCAGAAAGAGAAAAAGCACCCCCCAACAGGGTGTAGTCTTGCCAGAGTCCCCTCTCTATTTTCCATCCTGTCGGGATTAGGGGCATGCACATACATGCATGCCTCCATGTTCCTTAATCTGCCAGGTCCAGGATTCAAACTGTGCCACTGGTCACGTGGGCGCTGGCTCCCCTAAACACCAAGCCACAGGACTGGCCCTACCTTCTAAACTTTTTGTAAAATGTTGAAGTTTTTAAATTATAATTTAATTTTTTTTAAATTTATTTTAAAAAAAGATTAGTATGACCAGTCATGGTGGCACAGTAGTAACACGATACTCCATCATGCTGCAGCCACACGAGAAGGTCGGAGGTTCACGTCCTGAGGGCTGAGTCTCCCTGCCCAGGCTGGGTGTGTGCGGATGGACCACGATCCTGGCTGGCTGAGGACTGGGTGGATCGTGGCATAATGACCCTGTTAGGAATGCCTGTTTCTCTCTTCCTTTCTCTCTCTCATGGGATAAATAAAATAAATAAATAAATAAATTTAAAACACTGGGGCCAGCAGGTGGCATGGTGGTTAAAGCACGGGACTCATACATGGCTGACTGTGGTTTGAGTCCCAAACCTGGAGTCATTGAAGCAGAAGCACCTCCATCTTTAAACTTCATGTTATACTTGCTTCCCCCTTTTTCCCAGAGTAAATAGTGATTACTAGTCGTACTGTCTTTGCTAACTAGCCCGAAACCCTTTTGCTTAGCTGATCCTTGGCAATGGAATAACCAATCACCAGATCCCCATCCAGAGCCATGGGGACCATTAAACAAAGGTCTGGAGAGTGCCCTTAGAAATAATGAACCTGGGACTAGCAGGTGGTGTGGTGGTTAGGGTGCTGGATACTCCCACATGGCCGACCATGGTTCAAGTCCCGAACCAAGCCACTTTTGACCCGGGATTTATATTATTGACCTATCGCTCTCTTCTGTGTGTGTGTGTGTGTGTGTGTGTGTGTGTGTGTGTGGTCAAATTAAACTAAATGAATGAATAAATAAAATGAAATAAATAATAATTAAAGAAATAATTAACCTGCTTGATTCAGCTTCAATCACTGCTTCCACATGAGAACCCCACTCCCTTTCCTCCTCGCCCCTCCTCAGTTCCCATTGTAATCACACGTCAACTCAGACTTGACTGTGATCTTTGCCTTAAGCACCCCTCTCCTTTCACTCCGGGCTGTGGGGTTTTGAGAGACATGAGTCCACCCCGTAAGCCACCAGCTTCATAAACTCCAATAAATTTGACTATGTCTGGATGTCCTCTTATTTCTTGCTGAGTAGACTACAACAGCATGATCTCTCGTTTTCCCTCTCTTTCTTTCTGCCTCTCTCTCTGGTGAGCACATGCACCCTATAGCAAATTAAATAATAAAAAAGTAATTCTTAACAAAAAAAAAAAAAGAAGAAGAAGAGAAAAGGCTGGTAGACACTGGGTATTCTGGCAATTACCAATTTCTCATCAGTATCATTGCAGTCAGAATCTCAATTCAGCTTCCTAAAAATACTTGGAAACGTTTTTAAAAAGTTTTTGCTAGAGGGCACATGCACTCCGAAGAGAGAGAGAGAGAAAGAGAGAGAGAGAGAAAGAGAGAGAGAGAGAAAGTGAGACAGCATCCCTCGACGGGGATGTCCACGCCGCACTCCCTCCCCCTCCATTCTCCTCTCAGGATCTTGGGCACACAGGTGCATATACTTGGCGGTTTCCCACGCTGCCAGGTCCCAGCCTTGAACCACACAATTGGCCAAGTGGATGCAACCACCGTAACCATCACATCACTGTCTGGCTCTACTTCAAAAATGTGGTCTTCAACATCCCCGGAAAAAAATTCAGGGAGCAAGGATAAAACTCCTGTATTAGGAAGGGTGTAAAAATCAGAATCCTTAAACAAGTTCTCCCCCCAACCATGATAAGGAAGAGGAGGGGAACAAAAAAAAATTAGTTCATTGCAAGGGATTCTTCAAACAAGCCTCAGAAAAACACCCAGGAAAACACTGGTTACGCTGTGTTCCACTTAGTAGACTTAATGTGCTTTTTGTGCCTCACCTCATGCGACCCTCCTAAGAACTTGCTGAGGTGGGTAAAGTTACAAGGGAAGAAAAAAGCTTAGGGAATGTGATAGCAGACTCAGTCCAGCCAGATGTGAGCTTCCCAGCCAGCTCTCTTCACCTGTTGGTTCTCTCTCTCTCTCTCTCTTTTTTTTTTTTTTTGAGAGGTTTTTGCTATAGGATGCCGTGCACTTGCCAGAAAGACAGAGAGAGACAGGAGAGACAGAGAGACAGAAAGAAAGTGAGAAATCACCCCCTCAGGGGGGATGGCCATGCCGCAATCCCTTCTCCTCCATTCTCCTCTCAGGATCTTGGGCACGCACACACACGTGCCCAGCGTGAGTTTAAGCCACTGGGTCCAGGACTCGAACTGCGGTTGACCACATGGGAGTCCAGCAACATAGCCATTACGTCAACTGCTGGTCCCCCTGTTGGTTCTCTAGCTCTGCTGGGTGGACCAAGTGCAGAGAATCATCTGATTCATGCAATTTCCAGGCTGTACTGTAAACAACACCAGGCCCGCCCCTTCACTGTAACATGAGGAGAAGAAATGGAACCAGAAATCTGAAAAGCAAAACCAGGCAGCAATCTGGGCAGGACTCTAATCAGGGGCCTCAGGCAGAACCACAGGTCTGCCCTAAGCCCTGTGACTCCCGCAGCTTTCTGGTTTCAGACAAACCAACCACACTGTCAACATAGAACATCAAGATTTAGAACATGGGTCCAGTGGGTTCAGATCCCAGGACCGGCCTTATAACACTGGGCAGAGTCAGCAGGTGGAGTGGTAGTTATGGCACTGAATTCCCACATGGCCAACCACAGTTTGAGAACTGGATGTGGCGGCTTGAAAATCACACTAGACAAGTGTGTGTGTGTGTGTGTGTGTGTGTGTGCCTAAATTCTCAAGAGATTGGAGGAGGAGAGACTGCAGCGTGGCTGTCCCCTGGGGGTGATTTCTCGCCTTCTCTGTCTCTGGCAATTGCACGTGCCCTATAGCAAAAACCTAAAAACAAGCAAATGAATGAAAAGCCATGGTGAGCATTTGCACAGGTACCCAAGGTCCCGAGGAGTTGGGGGGCTGGGGAGAGGGGTTTGTGGCATGATGAGATTCTGTTGTGGGTTCTCTCTTTCTCTCTCTCACGTACACACACTCTCCATCATTTAAAAAAATAGATGAGCAGGACCAGCAGGTGGCATAGTGGTTAAAGGTACTAGACTCCTACATGACCCACTGCGGTTCTAGTCCCGGACCTGGCAGCTTGCTTTCTCACTTTCCCTTTCTTTCTCTCTCTGTCTCTGTCTGGTCAAATTAAATAATAGTAATAATAATAAAAATAACAACAACAAATGGACTCAAATAAATAATTTTTTAAAAAAGTAGATGAGGAACATGACTGAGGACCTGGACTGTGCAGTCTTTAGGCAAGTCGCATAGACTCGCTGTAGTAAAGGCAGAGGAGCTGCTTTGCAAACCTGGCGTGGAAACCACGCCCCGGGAACTACACACACCCCATCAGCCTGCTCCCTAGTCTCCCCACCATCCTGTGCTTACCTGACCCGCAACAGGCAGCCAGTTCCTCCATGTTTGGTCTATGGGGAAAGGAACTGAATCTGCCCCCTCTACCCGCCAAATAATATCCACGGGACAGGGTAGGTCTCCTCAAGATTTGGTTCAGAAGTCACCAACAGCCATTCTGAGACCTCCCCTTCCACTCTGGAGGGCATCTGTTCCTGCCAAAGGTCAGGCCCAGGACTGGTGGCACTTTCTGAGGGAACTGCCCACCCCTAGCTATCACGATGGCCCAGATGGCCCACAGAGCCTAGTCCTTGGTCGTCCTTGGTCTTGGTGCTTCGGTTGAGGGAACGTTCCCTACGTCGGGTCCCCCAGCCCAGGGCTCACTTTCCCAGGTACGGGCTGCCTTGCACTCTTGCGGGACTTCCTTGGAAAAGTCTTGTTACCAATGGACTAGGGCCGTGGCCATGAACTTTCCGAGGAACCTGAGTCAAGCTTAGGTTCCACCTGCTGGGACCTCCATTTTCTTAGTGTGTCCGGAGCCCCAGGCCCCAATTTTCCCAGGAGAAAGATGGCCCCACCCTCTTCTGGATCCCAAGCATTGCAGCTGCTGTGGCTTGGGCTGAGGTCTCGTAGACATTCCAACTGGCAGACTCAGCCCACACCTACTCCAGAGACCCAGCCCCGACCCCCGACCTTAGCCCGCTGGATGCCCGACCCTCCGGGCCTCTAATTCCTTAACCAAGGTCCCCAGCCAGTGTCCCCCTCCATGTTCCTCCTCGCTCAGAATTCTCAGTTCCCAGTCCCAGGCCACCCTCGCCCCAAAGCCCTCTCGGCCCGTTGTCCCAGGGACTCTGGGCTTCTTTCCCAGTTTGCAGCCCTTGGCCCCCCGGTGCCCAGAGACCCGGACTGCGGCCCGGAGTCCTGGCTCCTGACCAGGCCCCCAGCTCCTAGAACTGCCCCCTACCCCTGCCTCTAGTCCTCCGGTGCTCCAATCCTGGGTCTCTACTGGGCTTCTTTCCCAGTTTGCAGCCCTTGGCCCCCCGGTGCCCAGAGACCCGGACTGCGGCCCGGAGTCCTGGCTCCTGACCAGGCCCCCAGCCCCTTGAACTGCCCCCTACCCCTGCCTCTAGTCCTCCGGTGCTCCAATCCTGGGTCTCTAGGCCCCTTTCCCTCCCCGGATTGCTCCCGCACCGCCCCGGCGCAGGCCGCTCACCAACGTAGAAGGCGGAGACAGC